TCAGATGGAGAAACTTCAGGCTCATGGCCAGAAGTGCAACTGTGAAACAGGAGATGCCATCAGGGGCTCTGTGGAAGTGGGACCTGGCAGAGCAAGCCAGCACCAACGTCAGCTCCCCCTCACTGGCACTGAGGATGTGGGGCCTCAGGGAAGCTGACGCCCTGGCCTGTGAAGTCACCCTGGTGGCCACAGACCCCACTGGCCTCGGTGTCGCTGCTGACCCAGGCTCTGAGGTTCTCCCTACGGAAACAGGGGGCCTGCTGCATTTCACCTCCCGAGCGGCAGAGCCAGCGAGAAGCTCCCCTGGGTGCCAGCCTGCTGCCAGGGTGCTCTTTGCTCTGCAATGACATGCGGCTGGATCTGCTGCAGTTCCTCAAGACTCTTCATGGCCTCACACCCTGCAGACGAGGCGGCGAGCCTGACGCAGGCAGGCCCGGCTGGCCCAGGCCCCGGCTCGGTCCCGGCACCCCTCGCCAGCCTCAATTCTGCCCTTTTCCACCCCAGAACAGGAGCCGGTGCTGGCACCGCAGGAGCAAGCCCAGCCTGCATGGCAGGGGCACAGCCAGCCCCGCTGCAGAGGAGTGACGAGGTCCTGTGACACCCCCGAAGGTCCTTGCATCCCCTTCCCTGCATGTTTGGCCCTTTCCCTCACCCCAGCAAAATAAGCCATGGCCAAAAAGGACCCAGAGGGCCAGGATGGGGAATCAGGACCGGGGGAGGCAGTAGGATAAAGCTAGAGGGAAACAAGCTTCCATCCCTATGCAGCTACCCATGGATTTCTGCTTGCAAAAGAAGGTGGGTGCCTCTCCAACAGGCTGGCAGGGATGGAGAGGAGCCACAAGGAGGGCAGAAAGACACAGAATCCAGCAAGCAGGCAGCACCCAAACCCTCTTGCCTTGGCACTACTCTCGGGACAAGTCCAATCTCACCAGTCGCTTTTGACCCATGCTGTTCCTCTAGGTTAGACAACAGTCCATGCAAGATAGGTCTGCAGGCTGCAGCCGCTGTCCTTCCAGTGCCTGTGCTCTCTTAAGTGGATTTACACCATCACTGGAAACATCTTGTGTGGAGGAAAGGGACCATTGGCAAATGCTCACAAAATGCCATACAGGAGCCCAGAAAATGCCTGCTTGGTCCCGTGAGCACAGCAGCAAAGAGGGATGCGCGCTCAGAGGCTGGCTCCTCTGGTGGGTTCATTGCGCACAGCTAAGGACACCGCCCTGGACACCAGCTCGGTGTCGGGTGCCTGTCCCGAGCGCTGCCCCGCTCACCTTGCACGCAGTGCCCAGGAGGCGGCCGTCCTGCTTCCACGACAGGCTCTGCAGCTGGTCCCCGTGAGCGTCCAAGGCTGGGAGAGGAGAACATGGTTAGGGCCTCCAGTGCGGCCTGAGCCCCTGCAGTGGCTTTTGCCCCTGCAAGGACAGAGCGGGGCCGTCCCGCCCCGGCGCTCAGAGAAGGGGCACAGAGCTAGCAAGGTTTGGCAGCAGGAGCTCTGTTTGCCACCGTGCTGCCTAGTTGTTTCCCATCTGAACACTCTGGTTTTGCAAACTGATGCACTTTTGCTTGAGAAAACCCTCGCGTAGGAAGCGGATTTCTCCAGGCTGACTCCACGTTTCTCACACAGGCAGCATGATATCACTGGCTTTTTTTGAATCCAAAGCTGTTAAACTCAAAATCTAAACCATGATGGCACGGCTACACACACAGCCTTGAGAGACCTCTGGGTCCACACATCCCACATTTGCTCAGGGAGCAGAGCCCTTCAACAATATCCTGAGTCTGACTCTTTTCCTCTGATGAGCCTTTCTGTAAAGCACTTGATTTCCAGGGAAATCCAGGGATTTCCAGAGTAATTTTGTCATAACCCTGCAGCCCATGTGGGAGGGACACAGGGAAGAAGCTGTTGCTTTTTCTCCATTAGCTAGTGGAGGGCTTCCCAGGTGACCTGATGGGCCTTTGCCTGAGCCTGAGATCTAGGACTCGAGGGGATTGTTGCATTTGTGCAGGGAGCATCCCAGCTACACTGGCAGCTCAAATCATTGGGAAGGAGACCCTCAGCAGGCAATGGCAGCCATGTCCTCCCGCTCGCAGTGCTGGAGGATACCCAGGGAGCGCGATCTGTCCCTGCATGGGACCCCAGCAGAGCTGCTAGAGACGTGCCAGGCAGCACAGGAGCTTGTGGGCTCTGCGCCAGTCTGTGGGAGCCCCCACACATGCAGAGGGGCTGTGCCACTTCTCGCTGTGCCCAAAAGCTGCCTGCACTGGCCATGAAGTGGCACCAAGGTCCAGACCAGCCCCTGAACCCAACGCTTGCGCAAGGCAGTGCCGGGCATCATCACAGCAGAAGGGAAACCCGTGCTGCAGGGCCGGGTACGTCTGAGCCTACCTGTCAGCGACTGCTGCTGCCCCACGTCCCAGACGGTGACTCGCCTCCCTGCGCCGCTGGCCAGCAC